GGCCAGCTTTGCTTCCCTCCTGAGAACTTTCATTCTGTACTATAACTTAGCTCAGAAGTCAGAGGACACTTCAGGAAATGGGCCTATCACTTGCCAAGTGTAAGCTTTTTTTAGAAAATGGTATTTATTGTTTCCTCAGGGCTACAAAGTGGTAAATGGAGCTTGCTGTTGATAACCAAATAATGCTTATGGGATGAAAAATGATCCTAAAATGAGAGGCTTTAAGTAATTGACTACTACTGAGAAAATAAAACTTGAGTTCTTACAGTTCTCTGAAAATATCTTTTTAGTATTATTATTGTTTGCCCTTTTCATTGCAGCAGACCTAAAAATTGAAAGAGAAATGTGTTGGAAAACGTGCTGCTGCACAAACGCGGAGTGTTCTCAGATTGTTGAATCATACATCCCATTTAATACTCTGGTCTCCTGAAGGATTTGATAGCATTTTCAAGGAGACATTTAGGAGACTAGAATGTGAATTGAGAAGTACGATGTGCGTGCTTTGTTCAAGGTATTTGCTACTCGCTTGTGTTGGAGACATGGTGCTGTAGCTAGCTGGGCGTGACCTGGTCTAGTATGGTTATTTTCATGTTAAAATGAACGTGCAATAGTTAGTTCTTTTCCTGACATGAGAACTGAGGATTGCCAAGTGAAATGGAGGTGATTCTGGAATTCATCACCGGGGGATGTCCTGGAGGTCAAAAGTATGTGTTCAAAAAGTGTCTGGGTACATTCAGGAAGGCTTCAAGGTAGGCTACTGAGCGTGTTGGTGCAGGTAAAACCTCAGTTCAGAAGTTTTTTAAGCTGATTCTTAATTGGATGATGATTGAGGTCAAGGAGAGCATCTTGGGGAATGATCTCTTTGTAAAAGCCCTTAAAAACATCTCCTGCAGGTAACAGTCAGAACTGGGGTGCTTGGCTAGAAAAAACGGTATCGCATTTATTTCTTACAGAGAGTGGTTGAGATAATAATCTGACTCTTGGCTAAACGAGTAGTTTTTGTTTGTTTGACTTGCTGTGTTTGGCAGGCTTGAAATTCTGTTGCTTTTTGAGCTAAAACTGATGACTCCTACAGCTTTTAACTTCTACATGGAGGTTGTTTACTTGTCCTGTAAAATGATTAGTGCACTGCATGAGGTTCTCTTGGTTGCCTTTCTGCTGGTGGTATTGTCTCTGCTAAATACAGAGTTAAAGTGTTCTCCCGTAATGTGCTGTTCTGGAACATAGAGGATGTTCATAATTGTGCAAAAGAGGTAATGATTTAACAGTATAAGATTTTATTGGAGATATATCACTTTATTTGATATGGAGGATCAAAATGACCTTGGTGGTTCTTGTTTTCCTGTTAAGAAGCATCAAGTGCAGACAAATACTGCTTTAACTTCTTGGTATGCAACACTTGGGAGCTTTGTTAAATGTCACGAACCAAAAGGGATGCTGTTTAGAGTGTGAATAATAATTCTCAAGACCTCCTTTTGATAAAAGGAAATGCACATCGGACTAAAAGTCACTGTAGTGTTCAATTTTAGATGTTAGAAAACTACACAAAGAATTTTAAACACTTTGTCTTGGATTTCTTGAATCACTATTCTGAAAACTTTTTTCAAGAACGTTCAAAGTTGTACCTGGAAGTGAGAAGTGACGCTGGCTGTCACCTTGAACAGAGAGGCGATTTGAGTTACTTAAAAGATACAGGAAGACGTCTTAAAGATTTATTTTAAAACTTCCTTGAAGTTAGTTCAGATTGCCTTTGGTTTTTTTGTTAATAGGAGTGAAACTCGGGTGTGGCACAAGTCAGGTGCCACGTGTGTTTGTCCTACAGCTCGGAATCACGCAGGGTGACTTCAGCACGATTTTCCCAGCACAACACTTGACTGCTGCAGGGATGGGGAACCGCAAGTCAGTACCAGGAAAAAGTTGGTGATGTTGGATTATGCTTTTATCTTGCTGCGCAAGCAACTCTTTAACTAATGCAGTTCATTTTACTTAACATTCTATATCCAGAAAAAATTGTCTGCATTAACAATAGTTCTTGTAAATTGTATCCTTTCTTAAAAAGGCAAGTTCTGTGAAGAACTTGTGAGCAGTTTATAGCCCTTTTCACTGATGTTTATTCTAATGTTAGGACTGCAGTCTTTCTTCTTGCTGTTTGCCATGTGTTTTTAGACTTTTGAAGTTGTTATAACTCAGGTGTGACTTGCATTGTTCCAGTGTGAGAGGAAAGATTTTTATCACGCTGAAAGTCATCTTCCTTCCTCCAATTGCTTGCAAAAGTACTTGGTTCTTTGTGTGTTTTAGTGGGTTTTGGGTCCTCCTTGATAGAATTCGGAGATGATTTGACCTTCTTCAGTAGAGAAATTAGATGGAAATAGAAATATACAAAGTCTAAATATTTTACTTTTCAGTTCGATGCCAAAAACTTCCTCATACTGCAAACCTTATAAGGCTGGGAAAAGTGCTTCATGTCTTGCACTACAGGCTTCTTAGCTGTCTTGAAGTGTGTGGAATAAGATGTGAGATTAGAGCTGTACTCCATGGACTGAAATTTAATATTTGATGTCCTTAAAGCTGCTACAAGGCAAACAAGATACTTAATGAACTACTGCATGTGGAAAAAGCTTTCACCACGCTCTGACCTTCTTGCAGCTATGAACAGATCACTTGGGGACAGTCAGGAAGGGCTTGAACTCGTTATCTTCCCATTAGCAACATTTTATTCCCTTGCAGAATAACTGTAAGGTGAGATTCTGTAGTCTAAAGTTTCTGATGTTTTAGACTTGAGTTCACTCTCAAACACGACGATCTCATGAGCATCAGAAGTGAGAGCGTACAGCTAGGGCAGGGAGAGGGGAGGAATCCAGCATCCTGCAGTTCCTTTGAGCTAGGCTCATGTTGAACCACAAACTTGGGCACGCTTTGAGTTACGCTCTTCAGACTCTCAGTAAGGAAAGCCTGAGTGTGTTCAAGTAGAGTTTAATGCCACCTTACAAAGAATTCTTAACTGGTGACTAGAACAATGAATTGCACCTGTGGATAGTAAGCTGAAACATCTACAAATGTGGTAATGCAGAAATGTAAAAATAGACTATTAAATGCAAAATTATGATACCTTTAATGTATTTGTCTGATTCTTTAACACTGCATTTGGTGGCTGGGAGACAGTGATACATGCTGTGACTATCTTATCAAAATAAGGCTAAAAAATAAACAGTTCTCACTTAAAATCCAGATAACATTCAATGTGTGGGAGGAAAGTCTTATCATAGCTGAGATTCTTTGGAACTTAAAGTATTTCTTTACAATGTTTGCTTATGTATTGTTGCATGGTGTTTGGTCTTTTCTTCTGAAATCCCTCCCTCTTGGAAGCATAGCTCCCTTAGCTGTGAAGTGCTGCACTCGCATCTCTACAGCTGCTTTTCTGGATCGTTGCCACACATCCTTGATACTACTTCACCCACAAACTATTCCATATGCTAACTGGGACTGCTGGCCTTCATACGCTGCAGGGAGGATGTCACCAACCGTGACATGTATTTGCACATACGTTTTACTTCAGTCATTTACGAGATTTGAGATCAAACTGGTTGAAAGTGTGTTTGGGTTTTTTACTGTTAATGCATTAAGCATGCTTTCTAGGAATTGGTACCCAATTCTCTGCTCAGTGTCTTGGGGACAAGAGGACAAGACTTGAGTATAATAATAATTGCAGACAGTTACTAAGTTTGAATTAAATATTAATTCGAGTATGTTTGAATATATCGCACAAACGACTGAGATTATGAAGTATTTTCGAGATACTATAAAATTATACTTATCGTGGCACTTTTCACGTGTAGTGTGGTGGTGGCCTTTCACTGCTCTGAGATGTATGGTGGAGCACATCAGCAACGTTCCCGTAGCGTGCAGAGAGCAAACCTGCGCTTGGCTTAGTAGAACTGTTGCCTCCAGTGCAACAACCTGTTCTTCTGTTGGCATAAATGTAGTTGCTGCTGAACAGCAGTGAGGAATTGTGCTTTATTCACATGGTTATGTGACCATTAACCTGATAATGTAAACCCAGCCTTACTTTAGGTAGTGCTTGATTTGATGCTCCAAAGATATGCTGGCAGATGTTCTAACGTTCTCTCGTAAGTGAATTAAGTTGCATTTCCAAATAGTGTTAACTTCTTTTCTTATTTTCAAGTGACACTAATAAATGTGGTCCTCCCTTTGCTTCTACAAATAATGAAGTGATCTGCCTTAGGGCATCAAATTAATGGTTTCTAGCACAAATACATTTGCTAATTTAATCTTTTATCCACCTTACTGCTGTAACAGTTTTGTAGGGCTTGTGCTGCTTTCTACCTTATCACTAAAAAATTGCAAAGTCGCTCTGCGTCAAAACGTCATGCTCTGCGAGGGCTCTAGCAAATGAGGTCTGTGAGTCTTGTTATGGGGCCATCCCCAGCTTGTTTGCTTGACAGATTTGGGTTCCTCCTGAGGTGTTAGACTGATCAGGAGCAGCTGAAGTGCGAACACAGGTTCCAATCTGTTTGCTGTAGTGCCAGCGAGGAGAGTGCTGGCAGAGCCGGTAACAACTAGTTACCAAGCTGTACAGTTTTCACTCAGCTGTGTAGTGACTGTGTGTCCAATGTACTGTGGTTGAGAGAACTGCTAAAGCTATTGTTGGAGGAAGAAAGGGTTTATTTGACACAAGACCTTTGAACTACAACTCCAGGGAGCAGATACGGTATTTGGTGAAGTTGCAGTTGGGTGAATTGGGTAGTTCCTGGTGTGTCAAATAAGTTTCATCAGCAATGTGTGGGATAAAGTTGTACCTAGTGCACACCTTTTTGCAAGCTTCTTGCTTTTCCAAGATAACCCTAAACTTCATAAAGGGCTGCAGTGGTCGTGTCAGGATATGTGTATCTGTTGTTTTTCCAACAGCAATGAATTGAAAATACTGATTGTAAAGCAATAGGTGCCCAAATACAAGTTAATTAGTTTCACTGTTTTACAGATGGAGTCGAGGATTCGGTCTGTTGGGTTCCATCTTTGGAAGGGACAGTGCAATAAATCAGTCAAACAGTGTTTTTGGACTCGTGTTTTATATACTACAAATGCTACTTGGTAAGTACTAATTCAACTTGGAGCCCAAATTATGTAACAGGTCTGTGGTGTTGAAAGAACAGTGCATTACACAGTGTGCAGTCTACAAGAGATAAGATATATGCATGGGATTTTTATATTTATTTTTTTTTCAGCACCAGTGTAATGATACATCTGTCCAAAGGGCTTAAAAACCCAACTGATAACAGGAGCAATTGCATTTCCTCCTGCTATTCTATTAGTAATACAAGTGTCAAGACAGTTGTTGCATTGGTATTTTCACCTAAATATATGTAGCATTGGATTGCACGATAGAAAAGAAAGGAAATAAAAATGGAATTTACAAGTTTTGCAGGGGTAATAGAGATAGCAGGCAAAAAAAGCACATGAAATGTAATGTATGCGTATTTCTTCATAACTATATGGTCTGCTATAAAGCTGTTAACATTGCTAGACATAACTTGACCAATCTGTAACTTTCCCATAACTCAGGAATACAGAAGATGGTAAATACTACACATACTTCTTATCAAAGGACTGTCGTACAGAACCTAGAAGCTCCCCTCCAAATAGCGATTTGTCAGCCATCTTGAACTCATGGTATTTTAAACAGACTTCTGTGTAATGCAGACTTGCTGAGTAGCCTCGAGTTTGAATTGGAGTGCTTAGGCTTTTTGCTTTGTGTGGAAGGGGGAAACGAGAGCAGCAGTAGTAACTTTCTCTCTCTTGTTGCAGGTATGACAGCAAGTGCAGTAGCAGCTCTAATCCTCATGACATCCTCCATAGTGTCTGTAGTAGGGTCATTGTACTTGGCATACATTCTGTACTTCGTGCTGAAGGAATTTTGCATTGTCTGCGTCGTCACATATTTGCTGAACTTCATTCTCTTTATCGTCAACTACAAACGACTAGTTTATTTGAACGAGGCCTGGAAACGGCAACTCCAACCCAAACAGGAGTAACGCCTGTTTGAACTTTTGACTGACAGTCTGAAGACCCAACTTCCATTAAGTTTATTTTGCAGTAATTTTTTATTCTCCATATCAGACACTTTCCCTGAGTAACTGAATTTTTAATTATAAATTTGAAGGGGCCCTAGGTAACTTTTTTTTGTGCTAATCTTCAATTTAAATGTGGTTATGAAAGAAAGCTCTAATACAATCAAAGACAAGCTTTAACTTTACTTTGAAGGAGTTTTAGCCACAGCAAAACCTAGACTCTCTCTCTTCCCCCTCCACTTGTGAAGTGGGTGACACCTGCTATAAAATATCCTGTATATAAATTCAGGTATAACAAGATGTGATCATAGCATTAAATATTCTAGACTAGCATTACCATATTTAATGTTGCCATGTTTACAGTATGTGTGTTACTTTTTTTTAGCTGACGGACTTAGATTTGACTAGGACTTATACTGTAAATAAAATTAGAAATACTGGTTTCATCCCTGGAGAAGTCACTGAACAGTCAGTTTTGTTAGCCTAGGAGCTGTCAGAGTGTTCAGCTAATAGTCGACTGACACGATGGAAGAAGTGACCTCTGTAGAGAACACCGTGTTGCTGCACTCGCTGCTAGTGCTCTCGCAAGAATGATGGTTGGGTTTTGTTCCGTTTTTGCTATTTTTTTATCTCCAGTAACGAAAATGGAATTAAAGCTGAGACCTGAAGTATGTTCATTAAACCACAACTTCATTAATTTATGTACGGAATGAAAATAGCTTAATGTGGTCGATAGAAAGCTGCCACTGGGATGTTATATGCAGATTGGGGGTTGGTGTATCAAAGAGCCTTCTTTGAAAGGACTTAATTTCCATACAAAGCTGTTTCATTTTTAAACTGCGGTCAGACAGCCAGTGTTACTAATGTTTGATGTTATATGAATGCTGCAGTACAGAATTGCAATTTGCAGTGGAAACCACTGACCGAGTGGGATAACCAAGTAGTGCACTGAAGAAGCGGTTACTTAATTGATCTTCGTCAGGATCTTTGGTTTGTGCTATATTGGGAAATGAACTTTAGGCCTGACATACATAAGATCCCTTGGAAGGGCAACCTGTTTAGTGGGATAAGTAAGTAAATGTGCTCTTGAAAATGAAAACGTGATATAGTGCTATCATTGCTCTTTCTAATAACTAATTGGGAAAAAAAATTAAACTGCAGATTTAAACAAAGGAACAAAATGGTAAATGTTGTTTCTGCACTCAGTATTCTAAGGCTGAATGTTAAAAGTGCCTTCTGTCTTAAAATCTTTAACCAAATACTTTGTGTTGAACTTGGCAGGCAGAAGTGTCCTTGCTTTAAAAAAGGAACAAACAAAATTTCCAGAAAACCTGCTGGGGATAGAAGAGTATTATGAGATCTATTTTAGTTTTTAGACTGAGAAGTGGTAGCAATATTGTTTCACTTGACTTAAATCAATGTGATAGAAGGTTGAAGGTGTGATTTGGAAAAGTAAAATACTTGTGTTTCAGACTCTGTGACACCAAAATGTTTAGGTTCAGCTACTTTCTGTAATTGGTGCTGTGCTGCTTTTTGCCCTTGTCAGCTCCTAAATATGAAGTTCCAACTGCGAACTCATTTATTTAAAGAATTAGTTAAACTTATTTTAGGATTTTTCTCTTAAACATGAATGCCAGAGAGACACTTATGTTGTATGGCTAAGTGGATTATAAACACTAAGTTGTTGAGGATAAACTCGACTGTGAAACATGCAGTGTTCAGTAGAGAAAATAGAATTTTTAGATTGAATTCGCAAAATAGTATTTAAATTACTACTGAAGTAATTTTCTGGTTTGTATCAGGGATGTAGGTGGAAACTGCTTTTATGTATAGAGCTCTGTGGTATGAGTAACATCTGTTGCATGTAACACTAAATTACTTGTCCCTCTTGTCTAACAGTTTTAGACAACAATTCATTAAATGCATTTTGTATTGACCAGAGTATAGTTAAAGCTTGTCTTGATGTTTAGTTCTGTCTCTCAAATGCCTTGAACTTCGATAGGAGGGGAGTGAATGATGTCAAACTGGTCCCTCAAGGCTTTGTTGTGTTCTCTTACAAGCCTCGAGGCAATATCACTGTTTAACATGTTGTATAGTTTTATTTTGATGCATTCCTGTGATCTACACTAAGGCATCTTTTCATCCAAGGAAGAGGTGAACACGTGCTGCCTGAAATGGTTAGTCGCAGTGCTAATATCTCAGAACAAGCAGCAACGGAGACAAGTATAACCAATGATTACTTGGTCCAATTTTTGGGTGTACTACACACCGGGGGGAAAAAAAGGCAAAAAAGCCCCATCAGCAGAAAGTATAGGTGTTGACTAACTTCACTGTGTCTTGTGCTTGTCTGTGTGGGCATAGTCTGTTAATTCAGTTTGTTTAGTAAAATTGTTTAGGGCCAGATTTTCAGCAGTCGTGTCTGCAGTCCTCGTTTGTGTGCACATAGGGATCAAATGGAAATCGAGTTTGGTCTCTGGAAGAATTTGCAGCTACACTTTGTGCACGATCTTGCAAATCTGATCCTTGATTGTGGATTCTCTTGTCTTGTGTGCTTTTCTTGCAGTTACTTTTTACTGGAAGTGATTTGCTAGAAATGGCCCTAACTCTTCTACTTTCTCTCTTGTGCTTTAGAAATGCAGTTGGCCTGAATAAAGGGCAAAATAATATTAGCAGTAGAAATTTAGACCTTTTTGCTTCCAGTTTTCTAACTCTTTCCTCGTTGCTCCCAATGATAGCATATTTCTTCCAGTAAAATGGCTCAGGTTACTATTAGAAATGTGGAAATCTGACGAGTGCTTCATGCAACTGCCCCCCTGCTACTCCCAATTAAAACAAATGTTGTGGCAAATATGTGGTTGATATTAATTTGAGCCTTATAAATCTGAAGGCAAATCCTGAGAAATCTTGATATGAGAGTAAGGGTAAAAAAAAAGCTGGCAATTAATAACTGGTCTGGCAGAGGGACCAGGGGGCAGTATCATTACACAGATTCCGGTTGTGGTTCCAACACTGAGAACAGAGGGGAAAAAAACTCATCATCTACAAAGACTGGTTCTGAATATTGGCTTCTCCCCCGTCCCCTGGCGAGGCTGATTGGAAAGGCAAAAGAACCTCATCCCAGACCTGCTTAGGAATTAAACATTCCTGAAATCCTCTTACTGTAAGGTACTTGCTACTCTTAAGGCCAATGAAGCATTCAGGTCTCTAGGAAATGAATGTTCTTGGAAGTTTCTCACTGTCAAGTGTTTGGAATGTTAAGGCCAATGAAACATTCCCCACCATCTTTGATAAAGTGACAACAGATCTCTCATCAGGAGGTTTCTGCGTACTGTAGTAGGCATCTGTCTTCTGCTGTACAGAGTCTCTCATTGTTCAGAAAGATGGTGAGGTGCTTCAGGCAGCACTTGATGCTCCAAATTTATATGGGCTAAAGTCAAAGAGAGATCTGATAGCTTTGGTTCTACCAATGTTCTTTAACAGTGATCTAGACAAAATTGGTCCAGAAAAGATGAAGTATTCTGTTACCATAAAACTGTATTAAGCATGGCCTAAATATTAGGTGTTTGTTCTGTATAGTATGTTCCATCAGCTATTTATTACTAGTGCTTTAAACTCCAAATTAAACATCCATTTAAATGGAGTCATTGGGCAGATGTTCCTTTTATCAATATAGTTGAGAGATTCTCTATTGGAGGTTTAGGATACAATTTTGCTAACAGGTAAAACAATGTAAATATGTACGAATTCTATTTGTTGCACATAACTTTTTGGTATAAAAAATAAATGTAGAAATTACCTGTGGATGTCTTGCTGCAATCATTCTTATGCTGCATTCATGCAGTCCAAATGTTAAGAGCTTGAATGAACCCAGAGGCCTTTTTGGACTCAGTCTGAGCCTTAGAAACTGTTTTTAAAGTCAGTACTGTAATTCTGTTTCTAGAAATGTACTAAGTTGCGATTTTGTTCAAAGACATTGTGTGTTAGCAGTAGAAGGGTTAAAGCACTTGGTTCCCCAGAGATACCGGTTTATAGAATTTCTGCAGCTTCATCATGTCTTGCTGAATGTTGTGTGCACATGGGTGTGTAAGGGTTTGAGCAGCATTGCCTTGAGGCTTTAACTGTTTACAGTTCTTTAAGCAACATGCAAAAAAACCCTGTCAAGTATGTTATATTTAGCACTTCCTGCTTTCCTTGGTTCTGTAGGTCTGCTTTAACTCCACTCCAACAAGATCACAAAGTATCTGGAAACTGCTGTATGTTTTCCTGGATTTGGGGGGGAGGAAGGGAGGGAGCTGTTGGGGAAGGCGGGTTGGGTTTACAATTGCACTGAGCTGTTAAGAACAAGCAGGAATTAGGACTCTGAAACCTGGGCTTACCGTAGGTGTGGATGTTAAACTTTGCATCTGCTTTGTTGGAGTGAATGGAAGTAACAGCTTTCTTATCTGAAACCACAAGCCCTGCGCCTTACAAACTAGATCTCTATGATAACGCATTAACAATGTCAAATCTTTATCTGCATTTTGATGTGGCAGCTGTTGGTACCTTATGTCTGTTGAAAGGGGAAGAAAATGTTTTTTTTTAAAAAAAAGATGTCTAGAGATCAAGAAGTTGAAACAACTTTCAAACATTGGTAGTGGGCTTAAATATGGTATCCACTCTTATACCAAGGTACGTTTGAGCAAGTGTCTTTTTACCACAGATAGACATTTACATTCTGGGTTTTTAGTTATATAGAAAATCTGTAAACCTAACACAGTATAACCATAAGAAATGTTCGTAGTATGTTTCTTCTTTTCCCTTAAAAACTCAAGAAAAATTGTTTTGAAGTCTGCAGTAAACATCTGTGTCCTTATTCTGCATGTGGCAGTGTAGAAGGTGATGTTGGTTTCTAATGTACCACATCTAAAGGAAAGATAATTTGGCCACCACACAACATAAGAGCAAATATTTTCTTTGTATTGGCAGATGTTTTGGTCGCTTTCTTGTACTGGCAGAAAAGCCAGTTGCAGAAGAAGTAGTCATCGCGACAATTTCACATGGTATCCATGAATCAGAATGAAGAAACTATAATTGTGCCAACTTCCAAAATTGAGTAGGCAGCCTCCAGTCTTGTGGTTCTGCTGTAGGTGACGCTGCTCTTGGGACAACCCTGGGATGTTGTAATAAGTTTGCAGACCAAGTGTTCTGAGCTCTTCTGTGAGTATTGGCACCATCTATTACTGTCGAAAGCCTGACCTTTAGAGACCTGTGAGCCTGGTGCGCAGCCTGAAAGGGATGTTACTGCACTACAGTACTGCCTGACGTAGCGTGTGCACGTTAATTTACACATGGCCCTTCCCCAGAATGCTTCAGGCGAGTATCAAAAAGGGTTAGATCCAATTTATCCTCTAGACTGTTATCACTGTAGTACGTAGTGACAATTTAATATGAAGGATGCTCTTACATGCTGGAAGGTAAAACCGCATCTAATCGCGGCAGTTCTGGTACTGTGATTAAAATAAATAGTTTTAAACAAAGTTCAGTTAATGTAGTACCTACCTATCCAACATACTCCACTTTGCTGCTGTAGTATGAATTCCATACTGTACTGGAGTATGTTGGGTATCTTTACAGGAATAGTGGTTCCTCTATGCACTCCCTGGATGTTGTGAACTCCCAGAATTTCTCAACCAGTCA